GCTACCTGAATTCAGGAAAGTAATCTTATCTAGCGGTATATCAAGACCTATACTTCTTTTCATTTATCTAAACTTTATTATTCTAAGCTTCTTATAAATTTTTGAATTTTACTTTATTGACTAAAATATGCTCCAACAATTTCATTTTCGTAGCATAGCTTTTTGGTAATTCCTTGAAGTATTTTTCGTCGTTTACTTCAGCCGTGCCGGCATCTACACCAGCGAGGAGGTGATCGAACAAGCGATTGATCGTTGGCTTTCATATACCTCGCTCTGTAGAAAGGCTTTAGGCATGCTAAGACAACAGATGATTGAGGCCTATGTCCCTTATGCAGTAGATCAGCAACGAATGAACCAGACAGGGCGTTCGCGTGCACCTCTAACATTGGCACTGCCGGTCCATCTTCAATCTGGCGGTTTATCTTCAGGACATGGAAATTCTAGTCACTCCACTGCCTCGCTTGGTAGGAATAGACCTCTTTTGCCGCACCCACATCTGATGAGCGAATCTTCCAGCTACACTAGGAAAGTGCATTCTAGGCGTCAGCAGCCCAGCAGCCCAGTCTCTAAATTAGCCTCCTCTGGCTCCAGTAAGCCGTTGAACCTAGTGCCTGCTCTTATCGAAACGGTTAAGTCACCAGCACCTGGATCTCTTGTCTCAAAGAAGCCAGTATCAAAAGGTAGGCTCGCCTTATCAATTCTCTGTAAATTATCCTCCTTTCAATTCATTGTACTTCATTCACAATTAGTTTGCATTGTCTAATTATTCCTGGTACTATTATTCCCGCATAAAGATTTTTATCGCACATCCATATATACCTTTGTAACTCCCACTTGCAATGGAATTCATGCACTTGTAATGGCATAAAGTCATTGTGGAGCTTAGAATGTTAATTTTTTCATGCAAATTCAATCTTTATGGGGAATATAGGAGAAATCGGAAAAGGGAAGTCTGCAAAAATTTCGCTTACTACCTGGGAAGACTTGGAGAAATTCGAGGTTCAGCAAGGACAGCAAAAAGGAGACAAATGACATCTATTCAACAACGGGAAGAGGATCATTGGGTGATTGTAATGAGAGGGAGTGAACCTATAATCTGCCTTAAAAAGTAACAAGTGTGGGTCCACCTGGAGGATGCAACATTGAACGAATAGCATACCATCAGAGGCGCTAAGCTACGGATCTTGATTCGTTTCAAACCCACTTAGGTATTAAAACCGAGATGTGGGCACAACTTTAGTTGGTCCCCAGCACATGGGTTAAGTAGGGGCGAGTTTTTGTGCGAGTGCGGTATATGTCTGTGGTGAGAGGCGGCTGATGACATGCATGGCAAGAGTAGTTGTCAACTCACACATACATACAAAACTGACTAGAACCTTAATATTAGATTGGTGGAGAAGTGAAGCGGCCTACTCCACACTAGCTATTCGAAATGGAGCCAGACATATGGCTCCAGCAAATGAGGGAGATTGGAAAGACGATAGCCGGGTCATGGCTCTGAAATTTAATAAAAGCATAGACATGCGAATTACCGTTCTCGAAATCCTTTATTATATCATAAACGGGGACAGGTATCGAGGACTTATATACAACCAGCCAGTGATTTTCATGTGTAGCGGAGAAAAGCTGGCAAGCGTAGTGGAGGGATGCTAAATTAAAGAACTGATTGGGTCCCAGAACCCCAGTGAACGGCACCTAAAATCAGTGGTTAAAGTGATTACGATTCATTAAATCCACTTGAAGTGAGACATGCCTAGGCGACATTAAAGCAAATGCTTGGGGATGCATTGATCCAACTGCCCGATGCTGGAAATCACGATGATTACTATGGCAGAGATCTCAGGACTAGATATATTCCATAATATCTCCCTTTCGTTCTAAGTATGTTGCGAAAACGGGGTCAAATCAGCACTCAACCTTTATTTGCTGATTTCATGAATCTTCCTTTGACCCTATGGAGATCTCAAGGCGTGCACTCAGGCT